AGTGAGGAGAGAAGGTGGGGGCGGGGCATCCTTACCTGCATTGTTGGGTAAAGGCGGTGGGGGTTTCTCCAAAGTCTGGTACACCTCGAGCCCTGATTCCTCTGGTCCTGGTTTTCCCTCACAGTCTGCGCCTTCGGTTCTTCCGGGTCATTTCACTTTTCCTTTCGTCTCTCCTCTGACTGCCTTGCCCCCGTCCCCAGGGAAAGACGCCCGGCTCTTTGTCTTCAGGCTGAGTGCCTTGCAGAAGGGCGTCGAGGGCAAGGAGGCGGCGAGGAGCAGGTGTGACTGCAGGGAAAACAAGCTGGAGAAAACGAAAGGTGACGCGTCTGCAGACATGGCTGGTTTCTGTTCAGATGGCCCAGATTTCACTGAAAATTAAAATGAGCAGGAATTTTATTTTATTGGTTTGGTTTTTACTCAGAAACATTTCAACGATAACATCACTGGCCCCCTTAGAGAAATGTGAGTGCTAGAAAAACCCGTTGAGGACAGAGGAAGTCCTAGGCCTGTGTAACAAGGTCTGGAGATGGGTCAAGCTCCCGTAGCAAACCTGTAAAAAAACACTGTAAACCTTTTCAACTTTGGTCTCTGGACCCGTGATCACCCCTCAATTTAATTCCCATCATGCTGTGAATATGAAGCTAAGACCACAGACTACAATAAGGGAATGTAACTTCCTTAATTTTCCTGTAACTCAACCAGTTTTTATCCTAAGTCTCCATTTTGCCAGGTGGCAGCAGCATTCCTAGTCATGTCACTGGGTTATACCTCACTTCCAGGGATCGTAGGTATTGCCAGATGGTCAAGGCCTGGGGGCTTCCAACCTCTCGTCACCTGATCAGCATCGTTGATTTCTCTTCCCAGGCTGCCACTTGTACGCCATTAACACTCACCACAGCAGAGAGCTGAGGATTGTTGTCGCCATCCGTAATAAACTGCTTCTGATTACAAGGAAACACAACAAGCTAAGAGGGGTACCCGGCCCCTCACTGTTGTCTCCCCTGTCGGAATCACCCGTTGAAGAATTCCAGTATATCAGGGTAGGTTTTCTCTTCACACCCCTTCTCTCCTGGCCAAGGTTTCACGAAGCCAACTCTCTCCTTCCACCCTGAGTCCATCACCCACTGAGGCTGTCCCCCACACAGTAGCCACTAGGGGAACCCTCACCTGTTGCCCTGTTCCCCAGAGGACTAAGGTCAGTGGGGCTTTTCCCTTCTCCATCCAGCTCCTTCATGCCAATGACCGCCCGAAGGGGCTGTTCTAGGCACTGGGGACACAGTGGTGAACAGAAAAAAAGTCTCTCTTCTCACAGAGATTGCTTTCTAGTGGCAGGGTAACAGAAACAAGCAGGTAAGTCCATGAGTCCTGCGGATAACAGTAAAGGAGGGTCAGGGAGCAGAGGGCAATCGAGCGGGACAGGGGGCTCTAAGGAAGGGTGTCCCAGAAACCCTCGCTGGAAAGGTTACCCTGAGCATAGATCCAAGTGAAGTATGGGAGTGGGTGATGAGGGTATCTGGAGAAAGGACATTCTAGACCCTGGGCAAGGCACAGGCAGGAGGTGGGGTGGCCCGAGGCGAGTAAACAGGCACGGAGGTGAGAGTGCCTGGGCTTTGGTTTTGACTCTGAGTGAAGGGGAAGCCACTGGAAAGTTCGAAGCAGAGAAGTGGCATGTTTTACAAAGACTGTTCTGGCCACTGGACAGAGGAGAGTATAGGGGGCCAAGAGTGGGAAGAAAGAATCCTGCTAATAGGCCAGTGCAGGACCCGAGCAAGAGGTGGTGGTGGCTTTGGTGACTGGAGAGGTGGGGAGAAACTGTGAGCAAAGC